CACACACACACACACACACACACACACACATACAGAGGGACACCCCGAGGGAGGATTTCGCATGCACTTGACAAGAAAGAAGACTTCTTCGCAAACGCGGAATCCCCCAAAACAACTACAATTAGAATTCTCCACCGTATCCACCAGCTCCGAAGTAGTCCCGAGTGTGCGTCCCAGCAATGGCTTGCGATTTCTGGTGCTCGAGTTTTGGGCATTCTGCGATTCTGTGGCCAAGTCCACCGCAGTAAGCGCATCCCTTAACTCCGCTGGCTTTCGCTAGTTCCTCCACCTCCTCCATCGGATCATCCAGCGTGGCGAGCACCGGCGGTATCCTCTGCTTGGCCTCTTTGAGAAGATGCTTCAAGTCGAGGAGGATCGTCTCTGACTGGTTCTTGTTGATGAACGTGGTCGCGATTCCGGTCTTCCCACAGCGTCCCGTTCTTCCAATCCTGTGCACATAATTCTCTATCTCCGACGGCATGTCGTAATTAATGACATGCTGGATATCGGGAAAATCCAGCCCTTTCGACGCGACGTCAGTGGCTACAAGCACATCTTTCTTTCCCGATTTAAAGGAAGCTATGGCGTACTCCCTTTCTTCTTGATCTTTTCCACCGTGCACAGCGACCGCCTCCACACCTTTCAGCAGAAGGTATTCATGGATATCGTCCACGTCGGCTTTGTTCTCGCAAAAGATGAGAACAGGCGGCGGCGTCTTCTGCAAGCACTCCAACAGATAGACGATCTTGGCCTCCTGTTTCACGTACTCCACCTCCTGAATGACGTCCAGGTTCGCCGCACCCGCTCTCCCCACGTTGACCACGACGGGCTGAACAAGAGCGCTCTTCGCGAAGTTCTGTATCTTCTTGGGCATGGTCGCGGAGAACAGCAGAGTCTGCCGCTGCGCTCGGAAATGGTCAAACACCTCTCGGATATCCTCTTCAAACCCTAAGTCGATGAGCCGATCGGCCTCGTCGAGTGTCAAGTACTTGCACACATCCAGCGTGATCTTCTTCTTCGCCAGCAAATCCTTGAGCCGCCCTGGAGTCGCCACCACAATGTGCACCCCCCTTCTCACGACCTCGATTTGCGACCGCATGTCTATCCCGCCAATGCACAGCATCGTCCTCAGGTCCGGGTATCCTCGGTCGGTCAAGCACTTGATGAACTCCTCCACTACCTCCCACGTCTGCCTTGCCAGCTCCCGCGAAGGACAGATCACCAATCCGAACGGTCCTTCGCCGCCAATCAACGGCATTCGCGACTCCTCCTGCAGAGCGAGCATAATCATCGGTAGCACGAAGACCAGCGTCTTCCCCGACCCCGTAAACGCGATCCCGATCATGTCGCGCCCCGACAAGATCACCGGCAACCCCTGCACTTGGATCGGCGTCGGCTTCTGAATTCCCTTCTGCTTCAGCTTGCGCAAGATGGGATCCGGGAACCTCATGTCTCTAAAGCTCCTGATCGGCGGAGGGACGTTCTCTCCCTCCACCAGAATGTGCCACTGCTTGCGCACCTCCTCACACTCCTCCCTCGGCATATGCCTCACGTGACTTGGCGGCTTCCATCCCGTTTTCATGGACTCTGTGTACACCACGCCCTTTGCCAACTCGCGGACGGACATCAGATGCTTGCGCTCCGACAACCTCTCCATCATCTCTTTCTCCTGCTTGACCAACTTCTCCGTGGAGTTCTCCTCTGGAGCCTCCTTCTTCAGCAGAGAAGCCTTCACCAGCAAGCTAGGTTTCGCCTCCACGCCATCTTGGAGCTGATGATGATGATGATGACGGCCGCCATCGCTAGTGAGGGCATCCTCCGACCCACTTTCCGGCGCCGACGCGCGATCTCTGCTGTTCCCCCTTGCCCCTCCCCCTCCTCCCCCTCCTCCTCCACCTCCCCCTCCTCCTCCTCCTCCTGATCCCCCTACCCCACCTCTCTCCTGTAACCCTGCTATTGCCTTTGCCCGTTTCTGAAGCTCCATTGCCCGGCGCTTCTTCACGGGAATGTACTCGTCGTACTCCTGCTCCTCCATCGTGTGTGGCAATCCATCTTTCCTCTCTTCCTCTTCTGCTTCTTCCTTCCGCTCTTTCATGTGCCTTCTGCGCAAAGGCGGCCGCCGCATCTCCTCCGCTCTCTCCATTTCCCGCTCTCTTAGCTCTCTCCTCTCCCCCTCCGAGTCTTTTCCGTCAATAGAACCCCCCCCTCCCTCTCCATCCTGCCGCCCACTCTCTTGCGCCTCTCCTCCCTTTGCACCCTCGACTGTGGTAGTGTGCTCGCCTGCTATTCCATTACCTGCAGAAAGCTCTCGCTCCACTTCCCCGACCGTCACGTCACTTTCACGCCACGTGTCAACGATCCATCCGCCGCCGTTATGTCCACCTCCTTCCCGTGTGTCCATTACACTCTTGTCCCCTTTTCTCTCCGTACAAGGCCTTCCGTCCTCCTCCTCCTCCTCCTCGTCCTCCTCCTCTTCCTCCTCCTCTTCCTCCTCCTCTTTCTCCTCCCCCTTTATCTTCTGGTCATCCATATCGTCTCGACTCAGGCGCGACGGCGGCGTGCTGTTTCCATTCCCTTTCGACCTTCCGATCTTCCGCTCCCCCCCTCTTCTTTACGCCTATTCCGTAAAGCTAGGTCGTTTTCATCGAGACCGGCATCATTGAGCGCGCGCGCACGTGCGCCTCTTTGGCGAGCGCGCGCGCACGTGCCCGTTTGTTTGAAGCCTCTTCGCCTCACAACGAGAGTAAATGAGAGGGGCTACAAAGGTAGCTGCTCATCGATGCAAGCGATTGGCTTCCGATCCTTTAGAGGACGCTTAGCGACGAGCAGAGGCGGCGGCCGCGGCGGCGGCGGCGGAGGAGGAGGAGGAGGAGGAGGAGGAGGACAAAGCATGACGCCGAGCCGCAAGCGAGCACTTACAATTACTAAACTGCATTTCCCCCCTGATCAACAAAACCCTCCCACTATGGATCGCCAGCTATGGACAGAATGAAGGAAACAGGCATTTCCTTCTTCTACTCCTCATCCTCGACAAAACGGCCACCTTCAATCGACAAATTCTTCGCGTGACAACACCTCTGCTCGTCTCTCCCAACAACCCCCAGCTCAGAATGCTGATTACAAGCACGAACACGTGTGCATCCTTGATTGATTCCGTGTCATACGAGCGTCCGATCGCCTGCGATCAAAAGGGCTAACTAGGGGCGCTCTCCGATCCCCATTCCATTTCCGCTCGCGTGCTTTTGCACTGCTGTGGCTCCTCGCGCGATGCTCGCCCCCGATGACGGCGCATAGGCGATGGGCACTCAGACAGCCGACCACCCAAATGTGTGCGCGGGCGCAGTACTGAATAAGCGGAACAGTGTAGACTATGCTCCTACGGTGACACGAGAAGAACGACAGCTGAATCCGAGAGGGGGGGCGGGGGGGAAGGGGGAGAGGAGGGTGGGGGTTGAAGGGGAGAGGGGAGGGTTAGATACCGGATGGGACCGGGGGAACATAAGCGGCTATCGGTAATGCTCCACGCGATAAACTGAGAGCGGCATGGAAAATGAGAGCAGAAGACAGGGCGCAAGGACGGGGAGGAGAAAACATACCCAGCACTGCCCAGCACTGCCCTGGAGAGCCGTTCGCTGGCGGCTATGGCGACGCATGCCCCCAACTCGGCTCAACCGATGCGCAGTCCATGGACGCCCTTCCTCCTCGTCTCGCCACTGTTGGAACATTCTTTCCTGTCCTGAAAACATTACCAGTATGACCCTGTTTTTTCCCCACTTTACTGAATGGCCCTTCCTCTCGCCACTGTTGGAACATTCTTTCCTGTCCTGAAAACATTACCAGTATGACCCTATTTTTTGCCCACTTTACTGAATGGCCCTTCCTCATCGTCTCGCCACTGTTGGAACATTCTTTCCTGTCCTGAAAACATTACCAGTATGCCCCTATTTTTTGTCCACTTTACTGAATGGCCCCTGTCTCTTATACACATCTAGATGTGTATAAGAGACAGCCTTTACTGAATGGCCCTTCCTCATGTCTCGCCACTGTTGGAACATTCTTTCCTGTCCTGAAAACATTACCAGTATGCCCCTATTTTTTTCCCACTTTGCTGAATGACCCCCGAAAACCGCCATTGCGGGTTTGCCTCCATCTTTCTTGGGCTGGGGGCGCTGGATGCCGAGCGTCGACGCACTGCTTCGTGGACACATGCAAGAAATCCCACAACATAGGCTATTGAAATAGATACCCATGTTCGAATCCACATGCAATCACATTAATAAAATAAACGACATAGGGTCAGTCAGTCAGTTCCATGATGGTATATCAAGGCAAGGATTTTCAGGAAAGAGAAAGGGAAAAAATTTTGAAACGCCCCTCTGACTTCCATGTCGTTGCATAGTGTCGACTCCTTGTTAGCGGTTGTATGAATGTTTTGTGGTGTTCGACCTGAGGCGGTTGGATTGTTTTTTATCTTGTGATATTGAATGTATCAAATGAAGGTTTGGATTCTCTCAGTTATCATTTCAGATTGGATATGTTTCTGTCGACTACAATCGATTTCCTTTGATGTAATTATATGTGGATGTCTTAATTTTATTTTGACGGTGTGTCTAAACGACTAGGAAGATTTGGGTTTCACGCTTGGTTGAGACCGTCCTTGTCGACCGACGTCCGTTTCGTACTTAGGAGATCAGCGCCCTAGGAACGGACCACGCTCGGGTTCGCTTGGTGTTAACCAAGCGTATCTATACTACAGCGAACGAGCAAACGCCCTCGACCTACCTTTGCAATTGCATCATAAAAGTCTTCGCACGTGGGTCGGTAGCTCGGTGGGGATACGCCCCTAAGGGTGGTGACAGCCCCTTAGGGAAGGAAAGTTTATGCCCCGCGGGAACCTATCATGTCGTAGGGGACCGCGAGATGTAAAGTTGCCGCATCCGGCTAGAGCGGCGAAGGAGTGACGCGACCTCAACCGTCTTGGCGGTTCGTGGGGTTATTTTGCATCGTTCCTGAGTTGTCTCTTGATTTTATTTTTGTTAAACTCCTGCGTGACATGGCCGGGAGGGCTCTCGCCTTTGCGAAAAAGGCGGGAACCGATGAGCTCGACAGGCGACAACAATACAAGTTTCTAAAAAAAAAACTGGTGTTGTTTGGGCCCAAAACATATTTAATATGCCCCTACTGAATAGCCGTTGAGTACCAACACAAAAAAACAAATTATATGCCCCTATCAGCACGCCCCTGCGTTGTGCATCTATGACGGTCACTTCATCTCTCTCTCTCTCTCTCTCTCTCTCTCTCTCTCTCTCTCTCTCTCTCTCTCTCTCTCTC